ACCGAAGGTCCTTGCACCGTACCTGATACAGAATACAATAACTCCTTCCTCCTCGAGGCTACTGAGCGCCGCCTCGTCTCCTCATGGCCAGGGGCGCATCACTAAGTGCTTGGACCACCTGTGATCCGCGGTACGAGCCTAGACCGTGCGTTTGATTCTGCGGCTTTTCGAACTTACGGTAGACTGGGGCTGGTCGGGCCGTAGCGCGGGAGCGAACCCTACTGGAAGATAAAGAAAGGCTAGGCCAGCGAGGATCGGATAGGGCAAGGTTCGAATAACGCGGACGCCGAGAGTTGGGTAGAGTAGTGTAGCATATAATGGTGCGCCAAGTTCCTGGTTCGAACCGGCGCCTGGCCTGGTCATGGGCGCTTGCCTGCTTGAATGTCAACGATACGGACATGAGTTGGGAGTTCGAACGAGTGAGGGAAACGCGAAATCTGGAGGCTACAAAATAGGGGGCGTATCACCGTACATATTCAATGCCCGGCTCGCCGTCAAATACACCTGCCCAGTGCGCAATAGATGCGATATCCAATCCATTAGCATCAACTATGTGGCTGACTGCTTCCCCAACACTCTTGAAGCGACGCATGCATGCGCGATTCAACGATGGTTGCATGCCCCTGGAATGTGATATTATTTTACACTAATCACAATGTAGGTCGCCGCTGTTTTCTGACAAATTCCGAGGTCAGCTTGTAAGCTAAAAATTCCTTTGGAAGAACTCATTCCGTTTACGTGAAGCAGGCCAATATTATGATTATGATTATCTTGGAGCAAGGCTCTCAAAAAGCAATGGGTGGTACCTAGAATAAATAGATAAAAGAGAATTCCGACACGGGGAATTGAACCCCGGGCTATCGCGTTGACACAGTGGCAAAGTACACGTGAGAGGCGATAATGTTAGCCACTACACCATATCGGATGGTACAGATTGACACCGCACATTTAACTATATCTACAGATAGGGTACACATCAATATGTCGAATATTTTTCGGTCCTGAGGGAGTTATCTGAGGGACAGCGCATTGGAAGGAATGGAGTGATCATTGAAGGGAACAATTATTTATATTTGTATCAATGCCAGTATAAAATTTTTAATTTCTGTGCCTCATACTATGGAAGCATATAGACCGCCGTAGCCTTGAACGGGCAGCGCTCATTTCAAAAACGACATAATACCAGTCACACCAACACAACATTGTCGCGCACTTCGAAAGGTCCTATCACAACTCGCCGACAGTGCTAATTCTGTCGGTACGTGAGTCTAGTATAGTATAGACTACAAGGGTGAACCTGATTGTATTGAAAGAGGTGCTCCTGTACTACTATGCCTACTGGTCGGAATCTGCCTGCAGACGTGATAAGCCAAATCATCGACCATCTTTCCAACGACAAAGCCTCTCTCAAGGCATGTTGTTTGACACATCGCTCTTGGATCTATGAAGCCAGAAAGCATTTATATCGAGAGGCCATTGTGGACTCCGACTCGGACTTCTGCCCTTCTCCGGAGATGGCTCAACATGTCCGGGATCTGGAAGTGTGTGGTCTTGAAAGCGTGTCAAAGGAAGGCGCTGCATGGGAAAATATAGCTCGCTTCAGCCGAGTCGAGTCTCTCTCGCTGTCCTGTTTGAGATGGACATCAACGAGTCCTAGGGAGCAGGCAGCTCTCAAATCCATCTTCCCTCGAGTAACTCGGCTCACAATCGAAATTGCAGGCTTCCGCAACATCTGGGACCTCTTGATTATGATCTCTGCGTTCCCAGAAATTACTGATCTCGTCTTACAAGACATTTTCTTGGAGGACCAAATGACTGCCGTAGAGGGCCAAGCGTTCCTTGAAGAACACCGATCGTTGATAAACCTTCCTGGAAAGAATCTACGCCTTCTCTCGTTCCTCGAAGATTCTTACCAAGATGCTATAGATCTACCTTTGGTCAGAGGCTTGATGGACCATTGGCTGGCCGTCATACCTGCAGGTTCTCTTCAGGAACTCACCTTAACGTGGCAGAATTCGGAGGCAATCGCTGCTCTGCCCGACCTCTTTCGCCTGCTCGGTCCTTCTCTGAAACACTTGGAGATGGACATACGATATGGCGACCAGGCAACACGACTCGGTTAGTGTTCAATGCGCATCTGTGCGCTCAATTGCTCACAGCGTGGCGCTTGCAGGCTCACTTGGAATTCACCATTGTACTAAATTGTGCACCGTGATATTCCGACGTGTATGTATGGACCCGAGCGTGACAAATCATATTTATGACGGCGACTGCAGTTGGGTAACTCCCATGCTGTCCGAAATACGTTCCCCAGACCTCCAACGCGTCGAGTTCTCTTGCGTCCCGGAGGACCAGGACGACATGGGACAGTTCGATTTCGCCTTGATTGACCGAATCCTCGCCGGACCCCGATTCCAAAAGTTGACTGCGATCACGATATCCTTGCCCTCTGCTTCCATATCAGCCATCGATGAAGAGCAACTCGCGGATTTGAGAGATTTCGTTTGGAGCGCTTTGCCCATGGCCAAAGAAAAGGGTATCCTGCAGTTGATTGAACACAATGACAAGGTCCCCTTTTGTTGAAAACGTGACACCTACTTTTGCATCTGGTACGCCTCTCTGATCATCTACAACTCGATAATGTCCGCTGATAGAACCTACCGGTCACAGAGCATCTTATACCATTGTTGTGGAAATGTGATGAGGACGAGTGCAAGATGTGGTTCTTTTGGATGTGGGGTCCAAACTATCCAGCTGAAATTACAAACCTTGTGTACATATCGCTCGGAGCCGTGAACTGAGGACACTCACAGGCAATTGTATTTCTAGAGCAGTAGGTATTATAACAAGGGATATGTATACATTAGCAGTTCCTGTCCATAGTGAGTCCTCCAGACGTTATTTAGTTCCTTTCCGTAGTTCGCGTAGGCATAAGCGAGGTACGACTCCCTGCTCTGCCATCATGGTCCCAAACGTGATGCGCTGTACCTTGCACCAGCCATCCGCGAAATCGTCTAGCATCCTCAGCGGTTCACCGATTTCAACCCACAGCTCGTCGTCCAACACAGGTACATAAGCGCACTGCACTACCACAGTGCGTGGCAACGGCCAATTTGTCTCTGGATCTTGTGTAACGCTGTCTTCCACGGGGAAAGCATGAGTCCGAGAACCAGCTCCTATCGCAGTGAAATAGGAATTCTCGGACAGCTCCTCCGTTGTCCCGAATGCGGCCTCGACCAGCGTCGTATAAGAGTCGTCAGAATTCGATCTTGCTACCGCACGCGGTGGGAGGTTTGATGCATACGGATCGACCTGGAGGAAATCGAGTGCCTGGTCTGTCGGAGGAACAGCAGGCAGAGACCGGCCTTTGATGATCGCGGGTCTCTCACGAATAGGGCCAATTTCTGACACACCCCGAGACATGGAAGGTGAATCACATTTCATCAAAACCTGCATATATAATGATAAGCCAAGATGTTTCTGATGTGTTTGAGGAATATTGCATACCTTCTGTGTGACATCGACAGTGGATTTGGTTTGTTTGGCCCACGGGGGACACTCCGCTTCGTCCTCGGTAGCGTACTTGGTTGAAGCAGCAGACCACAGTGCCAATATATCATCTTCGGGCTCGGATTCCGCGACGTCTACCAGAATAGACAGGCTTGGAGGGGCCGCGCCCTCGACAGAATTGATGTGCTGTACGAGTGAGGATGCCCAGGCCTCGGAGGAATCGTCAGCCTTTGTTTTGGGATCATCAAAAGGAAGCGGCAGTTGCGGTAATGATTTGTCAGCCATGGGTTTGTGGTCAGCATCATCCGACATAGACTGATCGAACTTGGATATGGTATGAGCGGCAAGGGGAGTATTGGGTGCGGAGCTATAATCAGTCGAACGTCCCCCTCTCGAGCCGCTTGCTGAGGTGGGTAAAGAAAGGCTAGCATGAGGGGTGTGCCGGGTAGTCGACGAGATGGTAGTTCGCGTGTTTATAGCTGGGCGTATGGGGAGATTGTTGGTTTGGGATCCTCGAGTTGGAGAACGTGCAACAGCATTCTGGTCCACATTATCAATCTCTTCAAAAATCTGGCAAAGCTGCAGTTCTACTCGTTCCACTTTAGGGCGCTCTAATGGCGATTGCCTCCAACAACTTTGCATCAAGAGCCACAGCCCCTCGGGGATTTGTCTGTCGCAAGACGACCGTACTGGCCGATTTCCAGCTAGAATCTCCAGAAGAGCTGCGGGCATAGTGAGCTGTTTGAAAGGAGGACTACCTGCGTAGATCTACTCAAGGATATGTCAGAAACTCAGTGGCTGTAGAGATGACGAAACTGACCTCCCAATAAACAGATGCAAGGGAATATACATCACTAGCACGCGTGTGACGTGTCAACTTAAGCCCGAATCGCTGTGGATCCAAGACTTCAGGTGCAAGCCAACGTATTGCACCAGATGGTGCTGAACTTGCACTAGCAGATGTTGTATCTGCGAAATTTGCTAGCCCGAAGTCCGCCAATCGAGCATGACGTTCGTCGTCTATCAAAATATTTGGCTGGAGGGGATTCAAGTTAAGCCCAATATACATGCAAATGGTAAGATAGGCTCACCCCACGCAGATCTCCGTGGACCACATTCTGCTCGTGCAAATAGCAAAGCCCGCTAGCAATCTCTATGAACTGAGAAACGTCAAATGATGGGTATGTAGACAAAAGTTATTCGCTTACAAATCTGTGCACTTCCGAAAGTGCAAAACCGTGCTTTTCAATGAAATTATGAATATTACCGTACAGCATCCACGCGGAGACTAGGCAAACACTGCCAGGGAAGGTATTGTGGTCGACGCCAAGCAGCTCGGAGATATTGGAGTGCTGAAGATGATGCACCATTAGGATCTCCCTGCAAAATGCCTGCGAACACCAGAGGTCAGATAAGAAGAACAGAGGGAAGTGGTTACCTTCATACCCTCGCATTCCTTGCCCTCTCTTGCGGTGGCTGGTTAATTGCAATTCGCGGCTTCTTGATAGCAACCTTACGGCTTCGATAATCACCGCGATATATGTCGGCAAAGGCTCCCCCAGCGATATTGTTCGGGCTCTCGAGGCTTATGCCGCTTAGATGCAATGCGGCTGGAAGCTTGTCTGAGGCCTCCCAGAGCCGGATGCTCAGATGCCGGAGTTCTTTGCGGAATTCGTTCCATTCGTCCCGCTCTGCTTCCAAAAAGTTATGCAAGTAGGACTCAGACCAGTACAATCCATTGGACAACACCTATATAGGGTATAAGTAATGATATAGCCTCTATTATGTCTGAGTAAACTTACCGATTCCATTAGGTCCAGGATAGAGTCGCATTCTGCGTCACGTAACGCCAAGATAGCCGTCTTTCCTGGGCGGTTCCGTACAACTCCCTTTAACAGTAAGGCGATTTGAAACTCATCAGACTTCAAGGCTTCCCATATATCTGAGCTCTGCCTCGAGTCTAATTGAGACGAAACCTACGAATGCAATAAATGGCATTACTCCGGGGTATTTGCACCCAGCACCTACCTCCAATAAACGCGCACGATGTACGTTACTTCCCGCGAGCAGGTGTACAACACAGTTGGAGTTAAGCGCGAAATTTTGCAGCGATGAAAGCGCTTCATAGCTATAAGTCCGAGTAATCACGCGTGTCAGGAGCGCATTTATGATCGCAGAAAAACGCCCACCTCCTCGTACAACGCGCCAGCGAGTCCTGAGCGCCTGAGTGGGACAGCAAAGTAAAAGTCGCTTTCGCCAAGGACGAGCACACGTTCTATGTCGGGCGGATAAGGGTGAGCACATAGTGACTTCGTGGGAATCAGCTACCTTGAATATATTTCTCCATTGAGACGCAGGGCTTGCTTGAGTAGGGGCAACATAGAGTGACGATATGTCCTCCGCCTGGATGTTCGG